TTTTGAGTCACATTTTTCTGTGAACTCCCTTTCCACATGATTAAATGTAACTGATCTTTTCTCTTGTTAATTTATCTTTTGGTTTAATTTGCAGGCCCTCCCCCACCAAGAACTGAACCTAAGAGAGCAGAGGAAAAGTTTTTCCTCCCCTCTTCTGCAACTAAGAGGAAATCCAAGCACTGAGTCCTGAGGATATGTTTAAAACAGTGATGATCAGGAAGCACCAGCCAAGAAATACGCAATTTTACAAAGTTAAAAATTACCAACTCCCTTCCTTCCTACAAATTACACAACAAATCACTTATTTTATAGATGGTAATCTGGTTCGTGATGTGTAAAAAGGCCGTAAATAAGGCCCAAAGAAGTGATTCTCTCATATACTGCAGTTCAAGATAACTGGAGGTCAGATGGAAAAGTACTGATGCTTCTTTCCACATTCTTTAGTAACAAGCAGAGGGAAAATAAAACAGTGCTGGCCACGACCCAGCACTTCAAATGTAGCTGGTGAATCTTTTCTGTTATTTAATTTATTCACTTAATTTTAAATAGCCACATGTGGCTGATAGTTACCATATTGGACAACATATGTCTAGACTGTTTATTTTTTCAAAATATAATTAGTCATTCCTGGGTTACTTTATAAATAACCAATTTTATAACCTCATAAAAGATACATATACTTGAACATTTCGAGGCCACCCCAATCACTCCCATAGCCATCCCACATCAAAAAAAAAAAAGATACATACACTTGGTACATGCTGTTATCAAATTCATTTCTGAGTTTTAAAACAGTACAAAACTATATTATATTTACTTCAAAAACATGATAGTGTTATGTATTTCAGGTTGAGAATAACAAATCTATAAAATGATCAGTATACAATGGCTGAAAAAGGCAATGCTCAGTTTTTTAGAACTGTCTTCCGAACAACTGTTTAATTTAATTAGATCACTTTCCTCAAACAAATGAGGTGAATCTCTAAAGAACTGAATCTGATCCCCAAACAGACTTCACATTTTACCAAAACATTTTTGACCATAACACAATATTTCATAACATTTTCATAGTGAATTTCATACTCCTTTATTCAGAATGTCAAATACCAAAGGTGAGCCAATGAAAGAAAAATAATCAATTTAAATAAACTATAACCCTCCCAGCCACACTCCAAGGCTTTCTTATAGCAGTCACAAAGATCTCTCTAACAATGTATGACCAGTATTTAGATCACAGTTCACCAAACAAATTAGTATTAACATTTTTTTCTAGCTCCAGCTCTAGTGCAGGAAATTTCTCTCCTGCCCTTTTGGCCTTCAGCCATCTCCCAAATTATAAGTAAAAGAATGATATTTAAAGGTAACTCCTTTAGACTTTATTGCAAATCTGCCACTGTCTAAAGCTATATTTGCATCTGAAGACAGAATCTGCCTAGAGGGTATTGTAAAAGCAGGGACTTAATGTCCATTATTTTTGTATCCTTTGGAGCTCGTCATATTCTGCTCAGTCATTTCCACTGAATGAAAGACCAAATCACACAGCCCTATATTGAGCAAAGTAGCTTCTTAAAGATATTATAAACACAAACAAGAGGAAGTCACTAAGCATCATGTTTAGAGAGGTCATCTGGAGAAGTTAAATTCTGGTAGGATCAGTAAACTACATATACAAATTAGGGCATAAATACACACCACAGAAGGTTTCACTTGGGATCTGTGAAAGGTAAGGACAAGTCTTAAGGAATACTACCTAAGAACTCAATATATTAACACAGCTGGAGTTCAGAGAATATATTATTATCCCATTTCAAAGCAGGACATTCTTCCAGCCAGGAATGTCCTTCCCCACCTCTTTGCCTACAACCTCAAATTCATTTGAGAACTGAAAGATTAAAAGACAGTTTCATCCCTCAGAGAGCACATGACCTAGAGGTGGGAGGTGGGGGGTCAAAAGTGGCCTCCTACAGACATTTAAACAAGAAGGTCCTACTGCATAGCACAGGGAACTATATTCAATATCTTATAATAGCCTATAATGAAAAAGAATATGAAAAAGAACATGTATGTATGAGGTGGGAAGCCCCATAAAAAAGACCTGCAGGACCCCCAGGCAGGGCCACTACTCTCCTGCCAGCACCATCCGGTTCCCTGGCCCAGCGGCTCTATCTTACTTTTTGCCTCTGAAATGGCTTACTTCTAGGAGAGTGGAACTT